TAATGAATGGTAGTAACTCACATTATCAAACTCATATATGTAAATGAGTGCTTTTCAGCGCAAATAATGATAAATCAGTCATAATTACAATAAATTAAGATTCAATTTCATTATGTGTAACAAAAACAGTCTAGCACTTTTATCAGTTGAACGAAAATATAAGATTTGCGTTCTAAATCAAACCGGGGGAACAAACATGTGCTACCTTTTCAATAATACGTTTACACCCATAACGACTGCACATGATCAATCGGCAGGGTTGGCCGTGGCCAGCTGAACTGAGTCCGGACAGAGAGAAATTGAAGCTAACACATAGAAGCAAGCAGTGGTGCTTGGGAATCTTATCTGGAGGGGCAAAGTCACAATTAGTTGGTCGGATGGTTGAGGCAAAAAGCCTTTATCTTATGTATTGTGTTTGTGGCCACATCAAAATTCAAAAGCGATCGATGGAAGGCAAAACCCATCACTTTATTATTTTATAACCAAGAAACTTGACCGTATTATTACTATATTATTGAAGGGGACCTTCCTTTTCTTTTCCTCTCTCTTTCTTGCATGTTGTGTGTTCCATTGCATCTCCATCTCATCTTTCGTTCGCTTACTTTTCCCACACGCCACTTGCGAGTTTCTTTTAGCAAGGACTTGGATTAGTCGGTCAATTTGCGTGGCAAAAAGGATGGAATAATAATAGTAAGGATTGTTCATGTCCAAAACACGTACATTGAAATCAATCCATTTCATTTGTCTTTCATACTGTGCATTGCTTTCGCATGGCGTGGGGAGTGTGGTCGATTTACTTTATATCTTATCTATATTTTAAAAATAAAATGGCTCCAGGGTTACAAATAGATACAGTTTATATGCACAAGAATCACCAGTATTTTGAATGTATGGTATAATTCATGTTACATAACTTTTATGTAGTTCGACTTGTCTAATTTCTTATATTCACAAACTTTTTTTCCTTCTTCAAAAAATTTGACCAAAGAAAATATATTTATGTATAAAAATTAGTTATCATGGAACATAAAAATATTAATTGTTACTCTGATATAAAATATTTTGAAAAAGGGTAACGATGGGAATATCAATTATGGTACCTCACATTCACAATAAAGAAAGATTTTGGTTTCGTGTCGTTGAAGTCAATGATTAAGTAGATAGTTGAATTTAAATTTAGAAATGTGTAGGTTTTGTGTTTGGCCACTATCATTAATTTACTATCAAAATATAAAAAGATGTACGTAATTTTCATTTCTTCCTTAAAGAATTATTATTATTATTATTATTATTATTTTAAAAGGAGGCCAACTGATGCCTTAGACACAGAAATTCATTCTTCGAGGGTCGGAAAGACTCATAGAGGTATTTCAATCTCCTTTGATCAACATCGTGTACTTCACCAGAAATTGAACCCAAAATGTATTGTGTGAAATACAATACCTAGAATTCGTCTCTATCCATTAGGTCACCATGCGATCCGAATTGGAGTATCGTATTTGTTTTTGACTTGGTCAGAGAGAGACGTTGATGTCTCACTACATAGTAAACAATTTAAAATTATCAACTTAATAGGTAGAATCATGTCATTTTCCCTTTTTTGGAGAAATTAGGTTCACATTCTTCTTTTTGTTACTACATTGATTAAAATCCTATTCATTTTCAATTTTGTCCTTGGTATTAATAACATCATTAGTTATTTGAATAATAAAATAATTTTTATTTTTAAATAAATTCCTTTAGTGTTAAAAATGTTACAATTAGTATATTTATATTCATGGTTAAATTTTTATCATATATTTTTATTTTTAGTTTGTACCTATTTTTAATTTGTACCAATTTTTTTTTTCATTTTTAATTTGTACCCATATATTAGTTTCTTTTTGTGCCCATATTTTTAAAATTTTTATTTGTATTTGTACCCATGTGTATACCGTCACGTGACATTGTATATTTAATCAATGATAGAAAAATTACATATGGTATATTTATGTTTTATGCCTAAACTTTGTATCGTATATTTATATTTTTAGTTTGTACCCACTTTTAATTTGTAACATTTTTTAAAATTTGTAGTATTTTCTTTTTAGTTTTATTTTGTACCCATGTATTAATTTCTTTTAGCGCCTATATTTAAAAAAAATTCATTTGTACTCATAATTTTTTAATCTTTTATCTGTACCCTAATTTATTTATAATGTACCCATTCTTTTTTATTAATGTACCACTTTGTTATATGTGAAATGTACCAATTTTTATAACACTATGGATATATTATTTTGCCATTTATTATTTCTTATTTTTACATAGTTTTTATCCATTTATTCAATCAAAATGTTTGAATTTTTTTATTGTAACCTATTCTAATAGTATTATAATGAGGGATTTTAAATTTATAGAATTATAAATCTCATAAAATATCAAACAATTAATGTCAAAACTATAAAAATAAAAATATTAATTGTAATATAATGAGGTGTACAAAGTCAAATGACTTTGATCAAACTTTGAATACCATTAAGGTTTTAGTTAAAAAATGTTAAGGATTAGGGACCGCATCCAAAGTATCCATTTTTTTTTTTGTGGAAAGAATCATGTCATTCAGTATACCTTTTTAATTATATTTTTGTGTAATAGAGACGTTCAAGAGCTTGGATATTCATATGGAAAGATCATATCGTATAAATTAATAATGTACATACGCTAGCTAGGGTTTGTTTTCTTTTTGCACCTTAGTGACTAAACAACTGGATTCCTCGATGACGATAGCTAATCTAATTCTTGTGACGGAGTTAACTTAATTAATTATGCGATTCCTACATTTATTTTGTTTATTTGTATCATCCTTTCTTTCTTTCTTTTTCTGATCAAATCCTCCTTTCAATCATTAATAAATTTATTACGTTAGACGTTGAACAAGGCAGAGAAAATCACTGCGCCTATTAGCTACAAATACTTTTCTTCCCCTCCTAATAAGATTCATTTTATCGTAATTAGTTTGCTGATTTTCACTTAGTTCAGTTGGACGGAGAATCGTGGCCGTCCCTTGTGTATGTGTAGACGTAAATCAAAAGCCACACCTATGCTTGGAGGTCATGGAAGTCCAAATAATTAAGCCCTCGTTAGCTTACACCTAAACTTGGAGGCCATGGAAGTCAAAGTAATGAAGCCCTAGCAAAAAAGAAGCAGTTGAATGATGGTGGAGTATGGACCAACTTTAACTAGCTATTTTTCAAACCACAAAATTATTAGTTACATTAGGTAATGTTTCTAGGAGCTTCCATTTTTTTAATTCATAGACTCATAATTTAATAAAAACTATACTGTAAAAAATACCCTTCTTTGAAATTACTAAAAAAAAAATTTATGCTGCCGTGGTCAACAACCTCAACTATAATTGACTTTTAAACTCACTAATTTCAAGCCAACTAAGCTTTTAACTTTAATGGCCATAATGCAAAAGTAAAACCACATTCATCATAACCGTCAATTTTTTCTTCATATGGCCAATCTATATTCTAACGCATATAAATCAAAAGAAGATAAAAGAATAAACAAATGGATGAGTACATAAGACCATTTTCAATCATTGGGTTAAAACTTAAAATTTTCAATCCAGAAATAGTTTTTCTGATCCAACCCTTATGGGTTAAATTTTTAGCCCGAGATTACTAAATAATGTATTAAGGATAATTTTTTTTTCTTAAAGTAACTTAAAAAAAAATTATGTAAACCATCACAATTTAGTTTTATGAACATTTTAACCTAAAAATATTTAGATTTCTATAATATTGAAAAATCACTAAACCGACATTATAAAACTCATGAAACACTATGAAAAAAATATGAAACACATGAAAGTATTTTTTTAATTACTTTAGCCGTTAGATTTAAATTTGGACTGTAATTTTTTTTTTACGGTTGGATTTGATCATATTAGATCTTAATCATTAGATTTAATGAATTTATAAATATAAAACTAAAATAAAATACACGTATATGGTGGGCCAGCCCATTAACCCAGAGGGACATCCTAACCTAAATTTCCCCATAAATGAGTTTTGTATTGAAACCCATATTTGTCCCAAGGGTTGAGCAAGTTTGAGTGAATTTATAACCTTAAATTTGAGTTTTACTCCAAAGGTTGGATCAGTAGGTCTAAAGAGAACAAATGTACGTAATTTGTTTATTTTTATATTTTTTTTTTCATTTAGTTATTAAGGAGAGGCAGTAGAGTTCGAAATAAAAATGTGTGTGAGGATATATATGAATTAACATCACCACGTAAAGTAAACGCTGGATTGTTACATGGGAAGAGATTACTCGTTAGTGAGTCACACTCACCCCACCCCGTAGCCTTTAGGCTTCAACCCAACACATTAAGTTTCTAACTCCCTCACGTAAATTCCCCACAAAGCAACCTGACCTACCTCTCTCTCTCTCTCTCTCTCTCTCCACACACACACATACACTAAGGGCGTGTTTACGTATTCGTAATCGGAATGAGAATGTGGAATTGAATTCCGATTACGGAGTACTCCGGTGTTTACTAAACATGGAGGAATAAAAAAAGCAATGGGGCCCATACAAATTTTGGAATTCAATTCCTTGTATTGGTGGATTCTCTAGATATAGGTGGTAATCCAATTCCTGATTATTTGGGTAATCGGAATGACACTTTTGTTCCCTTTATGCCCTCACTTATTGTTTGTATTTCCAAGACTATCCTTTATAAACCCATTAAAGTATATAAAATATTTGATTTGGGACAAAGACATTTTAGTAATCATACTGGTTATATTCCAATTCTTCTGAATTAGTAAACAACTTAATGAAATTCTATTCCGATTCTAGAACATTTAAGTAAACAGTTTCAACAAGAATCCGATTCTTACTTCACCTCATTCCAACTCCTCTTTAATTCAATTCCTCATATTTTCATTACCGATACGTAAACACGCCATAAAAGAGTGCTGCAGTCTATATGCCTTTCCAAATATTCATAGTTCATTTGTTACCTGAAAGCACTCCATTAACAACCTCTTGAATCTTCACACTTCACAATTCAAAAGCCTTACTTCTTCCAACTTCTCTCTCTCTCTCTCTCTCTCTCTCTTCTAACTTGCTACAGCCACCACCTCACAAATCAAAATATGATGTCTTCTGTATTTGTTTTCCTCCTCACTATTTCCTTCCTTACAACCCTGTCATCCTCCGCAACCACTTCCTTCGTCTTCGGCGGCTGTTCCCAGCAAAAATACCTCCCGGGTTCGCCCTACGAGTCGAAAGTAAACTCGCTCCTCACCTCCCTGGTCAACTCAGCCATGTTCTCTACCTACAACAACTTCACCTTCCCCGGTAGCAGCTCCGCCGGCTCCCAGGACACCCTATATGGCCTCTTCCAATGCCGTGGCGACCTCAGCAACATTGACTGCTCCCAGTGCGTCGCTCGCTCGGTGAGTCAACTCGGAACCCTCTGCCTCGACTCCTGCGGTGGCGCGTTGCAGCTCGAGGGCTGCTTTGTGAAGTACGACAACGCAACGTTCTTAGGGGTGGAGGACAAGACCGTGGTTGTTAAGAAATGTGGACCGTCGACTGGGTTTGACTCGGATTCGTTGACCAAGCGGGATGCCGTGCTGGCGTATCTTGGGACCAGCGATGGGACTTACAGGCCGTACAGAGTCAGCGGCTCCGGGAGTGTTCAGGGCGTGGCGCAGTGTATCGGGGATTTGAGTACGAGCGAGTGCCAGGATTGTCTGTCGGAAGCCGTCGGACAGCTCAGGTCCGGGTGCGGGACCAGCGCGTGGGGCGACATGTTCTTGGCTAAGTGCTACGTCCGCTACTCGGAAGGTGGATATCACCCGAACGCGGTCATGGTAAGATGTTTCGCCACCCCGGATGGTGGTTTCTACTTTCTGGTTTTTGGTTATTTACCCTCTGGTTAAAATGAAGAATTTGAGTTTACCAATAACCCCATGTAATTACGGGTGAAACACTGAAATATGCGTCCCAAATGGTTGTTTTGGTAAATTCACTTTTCTTCTGATTATTCTCTCCTTTTTACCTTTTTGTGTAGTAGTGTATTTAATTAGTGATTAGGTTTGTTTGATGTACTAATTAATTATGCTTGTGTTGTGTGTGCGTGTTGCTAAGGGAGTGTTTGGTGGTGATTAGGAATATTCAAGTACTTTGATTTTCAGAGTGGTTGTTAACTTGTTACATTCAGTTTGATATATGATAGATTTGCTGTTTATGAGACCAATTTTGATGAATGTTAAGTTAAACTGGAAAATTGTTATTGACGTTTCAAAATAGTCGTTATGCACTCCTTTTCTAACAAAGATGAGTCCATAATAATTCTTTAGTGTTAATAGCAGCTCTCGTTGGCTGAACCTCGTAAAATAAAAAAATAAAAAAGAAATGCAAAGATGCCCCAAGACTGTTAATTGTAAATAATAAGACTTTCTTGTGTAACAAAAAGCTCATAGTTCCTTTTTTAATTTACATGCCAATGGGATAAATGCGACCCACTTTGAATTTCTGTCTCGCCAGAAATTTGAGATAAAAATTTCAACAGTATGGCAGTAGTGATATCTAAATTTACTAGAATTCCTTCACTAATACTGCAAATTAAAGAAATATTTGCTCCTCCTGCCAGAAGTAATCAAGGCTGCCTAATCTGATTAGACTTTGGTTAATTAAAAGACAACTCAGTTAATGAAATAAAGCATACACACACAATCCGATCAAGCTTAATTCTTCTCATTATTACTTTATTATGTTTGCTGTACGTGCATAAAGCTAAAGTGTTTATAAAGTGTTTGATGTTCTTTTTTCCTCTTTCTTTTTGTTCTGCTTTAGATGATCATGATGACGACGACGACGATGAGCTTGAGAAGACACTTGCAATACTCATTGGAATTATAGCAGCAGTTGCACTACTCGTCGTATTTCTTTCCTACTTCCGAAAAAAAATTTATGGCGATGAAAAAGGTACAAACCAGATCTCTCTCTTGTTCTAATCCTTCTTCCTAAGTCCGAATACATGAGACATACTTATATGCACTCTAATGTTCTGAACCAAGAATACAATGTCACGTGTTTTAACTTTGCATGTGGCATCGTATACTAAGTTTGGAACATCATTGTGATGTCCGGAGAAATGTATGTAAATTCTTTCCCCGATAATACTATACAAGATCGTAATCTTAATTAAACTCTTTTACAAACTATGCAGGTGGTAAATAAAAAAAATGCAGATTGTGGATAGTTCTGGATGAAAGAGCAAGTGTTCCTAGATAAGCCTGGTATTTACTTGGCTTTCGGTGTCTCCTTTTTATTTTTTGCGTCAAAATTCTATCTCTCCCTCCATTGCTCTCTCTCTCTCTCTCTCTCTCTTTGATGTAGTAGTTTCTGGCATATTTCCTTTTGCAAAAGAAGAGCAGTGAGGGTAGATAGAAAGACAGATGTAAAAAGGGCAACCTTGAAACAAGTGAAATGCGAACTTTGATCAATAAGATAAAAGAGAAGCACAAAGATTCCTTTACTCTTAATCCCACTTAACCACTCTTATCAATATTAATTAGCTAGATTGTTTACTAATTATGTGTTTAACTAGCATAAACTTCTGGTAAAGGTCTTGTTTGTGATGCTTTTGCTTTTGTTGGGTGTTATGGGACTTTTGGTGCTTTTTAGATTTTATACAGAGGGCAACTTTTGATATTGCAACCAAAAGTTTAAAGATTTCATGCCAAGTTCAAATTTTATTTATTCTGCAATTCCAATCTTCAATCTCATATAAGCAAAGTAGCTTTCTGCAATCTACCAACTCATATTTGACTACGCATTCTCTGCCTAACATTCAAGAACAAAGTACTCGGCAAGAAAATGACGATTTTTTTTAGTGTGCGGTGAGATCGTCACCTGATGTTACTAATCCACATATTATAGCATGAGTACAAAGAAACTTTGACCTAAGTGTGTAATATTAATAATATAGACACGTGTTATAATATGAGTGGATTGGTGATACTAACGAAATGACAGTCACGCTGAAAAACTTATTTAAAAGAAGATGGTAGTGTATATAAGCATTGTTTAATGATGGCCCTAAGCAACAATGATTAAGGCAAAGTTCTCCGATATAAAATGCACCAGCTAATATTTTAAAAGGACAATTAGGTTTGGATTCAATTGGCTAATAATTAAGAAATAAGAGTAGGACTGGGATGCTTCTAAAGCAGAATCTTCTCCCCTCCTCTCTCTCTTGCATAATTTGCTTCCTTTTGGTGTTGCATTTTAGCCCCTATAGGGTTTAGGAAATTTCATTTCTGTCCTTTCTAATTGAACATAATTTTATGAATTTTGCTGGAATTTCCTCCCTCAGGTACTGTCTACCTCCTCACTAAGCGCGCTCTTCTTGTCATTTCAACTTTATCTTCATATTGAATTTGGCCTGAAGTCTTTCTTTAACTTGATCAAATAATGGTATTTATATATATATATATATATATATATATGAATATATGTGTGTGTATGTACGTGTGTGTATGTACAATATAATATGTGTCTGCAAGAAATCCTGAATGATGAAAGCATATTCTGCATAAAATCAGAAACTATGTCCTCAACAAACAAAGGGGACATAGACAAAGCAGTCAACGAAGGTCACAAGAGTTGTGATAAATTAAGGTGGCAGGTTAGAATATTTTGATTGATAAGATTAAGCGGTGTATTAGATTTAATTAATGAAAAAAAGTAAACTAACAGTGAGAGCATTTGTCCTATAGTTAAAATTTTCATTGTACAGAAAATACGACTTAATAAATTGTGTTCTCGACACATTGATAAATTTCACCTAGGAGTTTAAAGTTAAATCACTAGCTACGATTGGTAGGTTTAGACTAATATGTACAAAATTTTCTTTTTCTTTTTTGTTGTGGGGGCTTGTTCAAAGTGATGCGTCATGGACGGGACAAAAGGGTACTACGCAACTGCTCATTGTGCATGTTCATGTTCAAGATATGAAAATGACAAAGAAGCTGCCGGACCCCCCCCCCCATCTTAAAGCACTGATGTTCAATTTAAAACCATATGCTTCAGTGTATGACGTGCATTGATGAATAGAGTATTGACCGTAGAGTTAAAGTTCACTATTAACAATTCTCGATACGTATACTGATGCATACTAAAAAAATGCGTCGTATAGAGATACTACACAATAACATGCTAGACTTTTGTCATTCACTGCGGAAAACTCTAAACACAAGACCGTACGTGTAGGATCTTTTGTACTTAACAAGCGGAGCAGTGGACAATTCTTATTCGGAGACACGTGAGATCAAGTGAGGATTTTGGATAAATAGTATGTTATGAAATACTCCACAATAACATGCTCGACTTTTGTCATTCAATGCGGAAAACTCTTTAACATAAGACCGTAGGTGTAGGATCTTTTGTACTCAACAAGCGGAGCATTGGGCAGTTCTTATTCGGAGACACGTGAGATCAAGTGAGGATTTTGGACTAATAGTATGTTATGAAATGTGAGCGTCCAACTCAAAACTAATTAACAGATAAATAACCCAACTAAAACTAATTGAAAATGACTCGTAAGTAAAAACTGAAAGCCCAAAACAATAAGGGTGCGTTTGTTGCGCCGGACTGTCTCGGACTGGACTAGCTGCCGGGACTAAGCTGGACTGGCTTAGACTGGACTAAGCTGGACTAACTTAGTGAAGCGTTTGGTGCAGTCTCGGACTAAGAAGCAGGATAAGAAAAACAGTACTGTTCACCAGATTTGTGTTTGCTTAGACTAGGACTACAAATCTTTGTCATTGTGTAATAGAGTAATGCTACAAATCTCATGATATGGGTTAATTGGAGCATATTTTTGCCATGTATATTATGAATCTTAAAAAAAATTGACAATTGTTTTGTTTCTATTACCTGCTAATAGAATTGGGTTTAATTTGCAAATGTAGCTTGATTTAAACTCTATCACCCAACAGAAGAAAAATAATAGTGGCCAATACATGCAACTTCAACAAATACAAGTACATAAGATCTCCATAATTTAGAAAATCCTAGTTAACATTAGTTAACATTAGCCAAAATAGATCTCCATAATTTACAAAATGGCTAGTTAACATAAGCCAAAATACTAGTGCAAAGCTAAGTTATAAGTCATAACATAAGACTGTATGATTAATAAAATACATCCATGTTAACATTAGCCAAAATCCTCATCCGCTTGCGTTGTCTCTTAAAAGTCTTTGGACGAACACTTTCTTGAGTTCCGGTTTGATTGCCCTGAACACTCCCACATTTTTTGGTTTATCCAAAATAAGAGACAATGCATCAATTTGATCCATAGGAGAGAGACCCATTGCTTCAAGTTCATTAGCTATGTCAGTATGATCTGCAGTACCTTGAACTAAAGCTTCAGTTACCATTTGCATCCTCTTCCCACTTTCAACATAAAAATCTTTCAGTCCACTGATAATTGCCTCGGTTCCATCACTTGAACTTCCCACAGCTCTTTTCCTCTTTCTTTGGCTATTTTCAGATGGGGTGCTTTGTTGGCTTTGTTGGTTCATTGAAGAAACAAAATTATCACCTCCAATATCACTTTCACCAACATGATCATGACTTTGTTCCTCCACCATTTGAGCAGGGGTTTCGGCTACATTACCCGTAGCCCGATCTTTTCCAAATATATATGCAAATCTATCAAACAGTGGAAAAGGTTTGCTTCTCCATCCATCGGCTTCTTTATTTCTCTAAGATTATATCAACATAGCAAAACTAAAATTTAGCATGCGTAACAAATATAGGAGCAAGAATATAACTAATGCATAAATAAAATAGGATATGAACCTGCACATAAGTTTGCCATGCGTCATCACTGTCAACTTCAACGCACTTTTTTGACATCATTCCATGCAAATCCACTTGTGTTTATCATGTCAACGACCATACTATATGTTTTTTTTCCATTTCTTCAACTTGGACTCAATATGTGGATTTGCCTTTATATTTGAATGAGGACATAAAACATTGACAGCTTTTGCTATTTCAACCAAAGTACCTTGTTTGAAAGCACCGGTGTCACACCGTTGCTTCCGAGCAACAAAATCCTCAAGAACTCCTAGTAATACTTCTTCCTCAAATGCTTCCCATTTACGCCTTCTTCCTTTTGGCTCTTGAGTAGCATTCAAAATATTTTCGTTATCCATACCTAAACAAAAAATATTTTAATGAAGGAAAATACCATACAAATAATCAATTTGCATAATATCCAATCAACTTGCATAATATCCAATCAACTTGCATAATATCCAATTAATTTGCATACCATCCAATCATTGTGCTAATATCTAACAAATGCATGATAAAAAGGAATACTAAAATAAAATGTTATCATTAAAACATATAGCTAGTTCGGTTGCTGGTTCCTAATTGCTCTCCACTCATTATACATTTCCTCAGCCATATCATTCCTCATTGCAGTCCACTGGTCCGATGATTGAACACTACCAACATATTCACCTTCTTCTGTATTTTGTCCATCTTCTATTATTGGCAAATTCTCCATTGGATCTACTAACATCTCTTGCCTAATAAGATTGTGTAGTAGGCAACAAGCGGTAATTATTCGACCTTGTGTCCTTATCGGATAGAAAGATGGACTCCTTAGTATCGACCACCTTCCTTTTAGCAAGCCAAAACAGCGTTCAATTACATTCCTTGCCTTAGAATGCTTCATGTTAAAATATTCTTCCTTATTAGAAGGTGTTCGTCCCTCCCATTCAGATACATGATAAGGTATTCCTCTATAGGGTGCAAGGAATCCTTCACCATTTGTATAACCACTATCTACAAGGTAATAACAACCTAATGAAGAAAAAAAAACAGACCTTATTAGTGTTTTGTAGTTGACAAACAGAACTAAACCTAACTTAGAAAGTTGAGACTAAGTAATAATCTTACCCGCTGGTACCTTAAAACCATTAGGCCTACTAATTGCATCATGTAGCACTCTAGAGTCTGATGCGGAACCCTCCCACCCCGGAAACACATATATGAACTGCATATCTCCTGAACACACACCTAACACATTAGTTGCGACTCGACCCTTTCTTGTTCGGTATCTTGGTTTGTCAATTTCAGGTACATGCACATCAATGTGTGTTCCATCCAATGCTCCCAAGCAATTCTTAAAAATAAAAAATAAAAAACTTTTTGTTAATTTATACAAAGGCAATGAAGAGTTAAAGCTTAAGGAAAATGAAAAATATTTCTCATCATACCTTAAAACATCGCCACCTAGCATCTGTAGAATCAATAGGCACAGGCTGTGGGACTTTTAGTAGGAAACCTTGTAATCGCAAAATTCCTTGCAATACGCTATTGAAATACCTACTTATAGTCTCTCCCGACCTATAAAAATCTACCGCCAACACTACGATTCTTAGTATGATGTGCTAATATTTGTAAAGTCATACACACCTGTTCCTCTACAGACACCAAACCATCAGTTTTTACCCTCCCA